GAAATAATCTCTGAAGGTTTTAGTTGGAAAAATTAACTTACACAATTATTTTAGGAAGGTGTCGCTATAATGGACTGATTTAACTAGAGATTAACTAGTTAAACTTTAACTCACAGGAACATCACAAGCTGGAGGTTACATTGATAAATATGTTTATTCAAACTATAATAAACTAATAGTAGAACAAATAAAAACTAAACTAAAACTAAGCATTAAAAATACAATAATAACTAATAAAAACTATCAAATCCACTGTAAAACTATTAAAACTGACTGAATTAAAAGAAAAGTCACAGAAGAAAAACTAAACTATAATAAAATTCTGAACAGGTCTAACCTTGGTGACCAGACCGGGTCAGGTAGTTAGTTTGCTGTAAAAATGTTTGGTTCATGTTGGACTTGACTCTCTGATCTGGACCCTGTCCCTCCAACAGGACCAGAACTCGTACCCGGCCCCTCCACACGGCTCAGGTCCAGCTAACGTCGGGAACAACCCGATGGCGGCGCCGCAGGGGGTCAACGCCATGGCAGGAAACAGAAACGTCGTGTACCAAAACAGCCAGGCTGCCATGGCGGCGGTGCTGAAGCAGCAGCAGTACCTGCAGAGACAGCAGTTCATGGCTGAACAGGTACAACTCACCTGAGGTTCCTGCAGGTGCCTCACCTGACGGTTCTCACCTCAGACACTAGGTGGAGCTGTTGTCTTTATAACATCCAGCAGCAGAACTGGACTGAACACACCTGACCAGTGTTCCCACAAAACCTGACGTCCAGCTGCTGTGTGTTTATTTGTTTGTWTGTGTGYTTGTTTTTGTGTGTGTTTGTAAAGCTGTGTGTTGTTGTGTTGCTGCAGGAGAAGCAGCGTCAGGAGCAGCAGATGCAAAGACACCTGACCCGACCTCCCCCTCAGTACCAGGACCAGTCGGGACCTCCRGCCAATCAGAACCCTTTCCCCCAGCAGCCAGTCAGTCAGTTTACAGGTGAGTCCAGGCAGAGTGCACACCTGACTGACAACAGGTATGTCTCACGTTTTCACCTGTGGACCGAACCAGAACCGCTTGTTTATGAGCTCACCTGTTGGTGCAACGATTAGTCAACAGAAACKACGTCATCGGTTATGAAAATACATCGAAGCATCATATTATTTACACGTAAATGTTCTTGTAACTGCAGTAAATTAATGAACTGTTGGAGCAGAATCACTTCTGTTATCTACGGTTGATTTGTTTACAAAAGAAGAAGCTGCGAGCCAATCAGAGTGATAATAATGGTGGAACAGAGACGATCGTGTCAAACGGGAAAAAAACAAAACATTTTCAAAGCTGCCTACATTTGATCAAAAATCAACCACAGGAAGTAAAATGCAGACTCAGTTATTCTATGGCAGCAAAAACAGGATGACATCATGAGACGCTAACATACAGCCGTCCTATGAGACGCTAACATACAGCCGTCCTATGAGACGCTAACAAACAGCCGTCCTATGAGACGCTAACAAACAGCCGTCCTATGAGACGCTAACAAACAGCCGTCCTATGACACGCTTACAGCCGTCCTATGACACGCTAACAAACAGCCATTATACAGCCGTCCTATGAGACGCCAACATACAGCCGTCCTTTGAGACGCCAACATACAGCCGTCCTATGAGACGCTAACAAACAGCCGTCCTATGAGACGCTAACAAACAGCCATCCTATGAGACGCTAACACACAGCCGTCCTATGAGACGCTAACATACAGCCATCCTATGAGACGCTAACACACAGCCGTCCTATGAGACGCCAACATACAGCCGTCCTTTGAGACGCCAACATACAGCCGTCCTATGAGACGCTAACAAACAGCCGTCCTATGAGACGCTAACATACAGCCGTCCTATGAG